CTGCGGGAGCGGGGCGGGGGCCGGCTGCCCCGAGCCCCGGGGACCTGGCAGATAACAAACCCGGGCGAATCTGTAACCACACTTGGTAGCCAAGTGCGGCAAAGGACAGGATGGGGGGCTGCGGGAGGGGAGCAGCGGGCACCCTAAGTGAGACTGAGCCCCGCGTCCAGGGATGGCTAGCGAGGAGGGGAAGGGAGTGAGTAGGAGGGGAAGGTTTCTTACTTTCCGTTTTTATTTCTCAGGGGGGAAAGCCAGGCCCTTCTGCAACTTTGCAGCCAGGAGGTGGCCATCCGGAGCTGGGGGCACGGAGCAAGGCGGGGTTGGGGGGGGGGTTCCTGCTGGGGGTTTACCTGGTGGGCCTGCCTTGGGCTCCTGGGTTGAGGGGAAGCTAACAGACTCCATTTGAACTTCCCGGTTTCCAGTGGTTCTCAACCTTCCGGCCCTTTAAATACAGCTCCTCATGTTGTGACCCCCAACCATAACATTATTTTCGTTGCTACTTCATAACTGTCATGTTGCTACTGTTACGAATCGTCATGCAAATATCTGATCTGCAGGATGGCCTTAGGTGACCCCGGTGAAAGGGTCGTTCCACAGCCAAAGGCGTCGCGACCCACAGGTTGAGAACCGCTGGTTCAGACTAATTTGGAGAAGTGAAGCAGAGATGACCTCTGATCAGCACAGGAAAGCAGCCCGCTGTGGGGTTGATGAGTAGTGATCTGTTGGGGCCGGATGGACACTGAAGGCAGCACGCCGGTGGCTTCGCGGGGAGAAGCCCGAGCCAGGGTCTCCTGTTTCCACCGCTCACGGGGAGGAGGACATGGTGTTGCGGGAGCAGAGTTTTTCTGGACACACTTGGCTCACACACCTCCAGGGCAGCCTCTTGGTGCTCTCTGGCCTCCCTTAGGGGAGTCCCCGATGGATGATAGGATGGATGGTATGTGGGTGTCCTTCCTGGCCAGTTCCCTCCGGCCTGGGTGTTAGGTGTGATTGCGCCGGATCCTCACCTCTGACCGCGGTGTGTGGGTCCTGTGCCCGGTGGGGGCAGGGGCGGGGGTGCTGTTGCTGCTTTCATCTTTGGGAACGTTTGTAAGATGCTGGTTTCGTCAGGCGAGTTCGTTTGCCTTTTTTCTTTCAACCACCGTGTGGGACATCGCTCTCAAGTCCCAGTTACTAAATTTTTTTAAAAAAAATGAGCTTAGAGACCTGCCAAGTGTCCATTAGATATTTTGTTTAACCCCAAATATTTAATCGGTCACAGGAAGATGCCAGTACGGTCTCTGAAAGGCACAGAAGCTGCTCGGGGCCGTTTCAGAAGTTGACAGAGTTGTTTGAAACTTGAGTGGCATCTTTACGTAGAAAGATGTGGCTGCCTTCTCTCACCCCTGGCGGGCCGGCTTTGGAGAACTGGTATCAGTCACAGGGGTGTGATTTTGGGGGGCCCAGGGAGAAGTGGGGTGCAGAGAAGAGAGGAGGAGGGCGCATTTCCTTCCTCTTTCCTGGAACTCGGAGGCTCACGCTACATGTTGAAATAGGCACAGCTTGCTGTTGTCACCTTCCTTTTTTGTGCCCCTCCTCCCTGCCCCAAGGTGTCCGCTGCCCCTGCCTCCCCAGGGCCCCTGGTGACTCCTCAGCCAGATGGGACTTGGTCCCCAGAGCTGGGCTCCTCTGCCCTGGGCCCCAGGCCCCAGCCCATTCATCACCCCCCAGCCATCTCGCTATCTCGCTATCTGGGTAGGCGCTGGGAAGAAAGCTGTCCATTACCTGACTGTGAATGAACTGACACCCTCTAATCCCCAGATCAGCAGTTGTGTTTCCTTTCATCTCCCAACCTCGCTGCTATCTTTCCCAACGAGTGAAGCTTATTAAGTTTTTTCTCAGGTGATTAACTGCAGAAACGCGGTGCTTATCAAAGAGTGTTTTCTTGGGGAGGGTAGCTTTCTCCTTTCCCAACTCCACGGCCTTCAGAAGTTCTCGAATGTTGTTCTTGTTACAGAATCCGCTCTTTGCTGGAGCTGGGTAAGCATGCGTATTATGCTCAGGTGTTGGTCGGGGTTTGCTTAGTTGGTGAGAAGAAGGTGATTTACGGGGCATACGTCTCCATGGTAACCGCCCGCTGCTTAGCCTGGGCCCAGCTAGTGTGGTTGGTGTTGGAGGTCAGGGGCACGGAGTGAATCTGCTGGGCAGGAGGGAGAAGTTCACCACCGAAGAGCTGGAGCGCCCAGCCGTCAGCTGATGTCTAGAAAAGGGGGGCAAACAGGCCTCATGTAAGGAGCCGTTTCTGTAGGTTGCGTGTGGCTTCTGAGCGTCGTTCATACAAGGCTCTGTGGGCCGTGTTTGGTTCAGTGGTGAAGCATGTTGTAACGGGTAAAGGCCAGGTGTGCATCAGCCCGGGTACGAGGTTGGCTGCAACTTGGTATGCATTTGGAACTTCAGCTGCAAGACTTGAAAACTTGAAAGAAAGGCCCCCCAAATTTGCTGTTCATTATAGATTTGGATTTTTTCCCTCCCTGTTTGACGGGTTATAATAATGCTAATTATACATTCTTGATTTTTCTAGACAGACTGTTTCATGGTTTGTTGTTTTTAATGAAGGTAATTATACTTAAAAACCGAATATATTTTTTTAAGTCTTTGTAAGACTAGATACACATTTATAAATCAGAAAACGGATCCTTCGTGAGGTTGTGCCTTGTTGATTGGCAGGTAGTGTGGTCACCGGCGGTGATAGCGTTTCGCACAGGCAGCCCTGAGTGTCACACGGGCCCCAGGGACGGAATTGTCCTGTGTGAAGTGATTCCCAGGGAGACACGACAGGCAGAGGGGCCACTTCTGTACTGTGCTGACTCGACAAAACAGTTCACATTCCTTTAGCTTTCGTTTCTCACCTTTAAAATAAGGGGAGGGGTACACCCTCCCCTCCAATGATCTTTTTGACCCTGAAATCTTGACCAGTTAAAGTTTTGGAGAGTTGTGTTTTAGTGTCCAATCTGAGGGGGAAAAAAAGGACAAATGTAAGTGTGTATTGCACTGACTCCCCCTTTTTTATCTTTAAAACTGTTCAGACTGATTTGCAAAAATGCCAAGTAGGAAATTCGCGGACGGCGAGGTGGTAAGGGGCCGGTGGCCTGGGAGTTCACTGTACTATGAAGTGGAGGTTCTGAGCCATGACAGCAAGTCCCAGCTTTACACGGTCAAATACAAGGACGGAACGGAGCTGGAGCTGAAGGAGAGTGACATCAAGGTGAGTGCTCCTCTGGGTCCCCGAGTGTTTATACTGGGGGGGGAGGGGAGGCGGGGGCGGTAACTGACTGTGGGTGTGGTTTTGAGGTTAGAGCAGTCAGTTCTGGCTCCGTTTGAAGGTGCAGGGTCGTGCTGCTGCTCGGGGTCAGATACCGTTTTGGCTCCGGGAATGTGTGAGTGAGACACAGCGCCCTGTTCCTGAGAAGATGCCCGGCCCCTGGAGAAGGCGATGCTTCCCGGGTCGGTCCTGGTTTCATCCGTGGGGTGACAGGCATTTGGGGGTTAGGGAAGGCTCCTCGAGGTGTGGCCCCTGAGCCGAGTGCTGAGAGAATAGGAAGCTCAGGTGCCGGAGGGGTGGCCTCCGCAGAGGGCAGCAGGCCAGAGGCCTGGCTGGCGGACACAGGTGCTGCCAGGGTGTGGGGGCGAGGCACAGCGGAGGGGGAGTCAGAATTGGAGGCGTTAGGGCAGGGGTCCTCAAGCTACGGCCCGCGGGCCACACGCAAATACAAATATTGTATTTGTTCCCGTTTTGTTTTTTTACTTCAAAATAAGATATGTGCAGTGTGCATAGGAATTTGGTCATAGTTTTTTTTAAAACTACAGTCCGGCCCTCCAACGGTCTGAGGGACAGTGAACTGGCCCCCTGTTTAAAAGGTTTGAGGACCCCTGGGTTAGGGCTTCATCCCGAACACGGGATTCAATCAGGAGAGTGACATTCATTGGATTTGAGTCTGGCCTCTCCACCCTATCTGGTGAGGGCCTGGGCCTTAAAGCATCTGATCCGTGACGTAGAAGTACTCACAAAGGAAAAAGATGTATGAAATAAGTTCTTTTTATTATTGGGTTCAATAGATATAAAATTCCGTTGTCAAAATGCTATAAAAGTTTCTACACACCTATTTGCAATTCCGTTCCTTGTTTGCACCCATAGCCTTGGCACCGCAGTGTGAGCGCTCTAGGGCAGGGCCTGCAAAGCTTTTGAATAAAGGGACAGACAGTGGCTCTCCCAGGCTTTGTGGGCTTGTCGTGTCCGCATGCGGAGCAGCTCCAGGCAGCCGGAGGGGAGCGGAGATGGCTGTGCACCAACTAACCTTGATTTCCCGACCCTGGAATGGGAACTTCAGAGCATGCTCACGTGTCACCAAGTCTCTTCTTTTGATTTCGTTTGCGACCAGTTAGAGACTGGACAGCCACGCTGCGCCCGGGGCCACCCGAAACGGTGGGGGGAGGGATTGGCCGGGAAGTTTGCCTTCCCAGGTCTGGGGCCCTGGAACCCCGGCGAGGGCAGGTGAAGTGTCATAAGGTATCCAAGCTGCACTCCTTTCCTAGGCCTGCCTGTGGGTGTTGTTCCGAGTGAAACGGGCTTCTCTTCCCGTTGTTTGTGTGCGGGTTTCTTTTGCCCATCATCTCAGCTTTAGTCAGTGTCATTGTAACTCTTCTTGTCTCTGTTCTTGGGGAAACGTACAGCTAGTTGGTGTAAACACATTCATTTCTGGCAACGCTTCAAAGAAGAATCAGGAGAGGAAGGGCTGCATTTGTCTCCTGAGAGAGGGGCCATTAGAGCAGCATCCCCGCTGGCTCAGCAGCCGTCTCAGGCCCAGCATTTCCTGGCTGGTGTTCGTTCATGGAACCAATAATGGCCTTTGCTGCCTCTCGAATGTGGGTCTCTCTGCATGTGGTATGACTTCTGCTCCCTCTCCAGCCTTTAGGTTCCTTTAGGCAAAGGAAAAGTGGCTCAACTTCCAGCTCCCCGTCCAGACGACGAGGGAGTCGGTCAAGGTCGCGCTCCCGCTCCCCCGGCCGAGCAGCGAAGGGTTCCCGCCGGTCCGCCTCTGCCTCACACCATGTGGACATCAAGGAAATGAAGAAGGAAGTGTTGGAAGTGAAGTTGACTCCACTGGTATTGGTATGTGTGCACGCCTTCGGGCTGTCTTTATCCCTACACAGTGTTTAGTCTGCCCAAGCTCCGAATTCCCTTTGTGGGCCTGGTTACTCATATTATTTGCAGTTAATAATATGAAAATGTCAGTGAAACATCAAATTCTAAGGTAATGATCATGGCAGATTTCATTAAAAAAAAGAATGTTTGGAATAGAAGATACAACGCCTTTAAGTGCCAATGAAAAAGAATGTTTTTAAGTTAAAAGAGTCCTATTTAATATTGTGTGTGTTTTTCTTAATATTCTTTTAAAAAATATTGATTTTAGAGGAGGAGGATAGAGAAATATCAATTGGTTGCCTCCTACACACCCCTGACTGGGGATCGAGCCCTCAACCTGGGCATGTCCCTTGACTGGAATCAAACTTGGGACCCTGCAGTCTGCAGGTGGACACTCTATCCACTAAGCAAAACATGTCAGGGCAAATGTATGACATCTTAATAGGGGAAGGGAAGCATGCTCTCATCCCGTCAGTTGCAGTAGGCAGGTTTAGGGTGAGCTACGTGACTAGTATGTTTCAGGTTGCATTTGTAGTTACTGTGGGCCATCGGTCGGACATTTGAAAACAGAGTGTAGTTGTCCGTGGTTTTTAGGTGGGTCCATTTGCTTTGCGGCCAAGTGGCTCACTGGCACGTGGGTAAACTTCAGCGTATGTTGCATGCCCGCTGCAGTTAGACTTGGATTTGAACTGGAGCTTGATGCTGTATCAATGCTGTTCTTTGCCAGCTGGCCTCCCAAATGATAGACTTGGGTTTTTAATGTGTTTTCCTCCTCTTGGTTTATTAGCATTATAGTTTGCCACTGACTTACAAAGGAGCAAGTGACAGATGTCAGCCATGCTTTGCTGAAATATCTCCTGCAAGCTGATGCTCTTTCCCGTCCCCTCTGATGAGAAACCCGCCTGCTGCTGGGGAGGGTGCACATTCAGGGAAGGAGACTGAGTCAGGGCAAGGACAGAGTTAAGGTCACAGAAGACCCAGGCAGCATGCAGTTCAGAAAGGAGGCCGTGTGTAGGTCCTAGGAACACTCTAGAAGTGCCCACTATTTCTTACCTTCCCATTACAGGCTATTTTGGGGGCAGTGAATGTCTTCTCATCATTTTTTAAGATCAGTTCATGAAATAATTGGCCAATTTTTACTTCTCCTAACTCTCATAGTAAATATTAGCATATTTGTTATTGAACAATGAAATGATTACATTGAGTCTAATTATGCTTAAAAGACGAAAGAACTTATGTGGAATCTATTCTGTAAAATCCAATCTTTTGAAGATGGGGAAATTCTAGTCAATTTTACTCCTTTTCCTTTTTAACAACAGTATCCTGAATTCTTCAGAATTAAAGCGGTGAAAATCGTTGGCTTTATTTATCACAACAGTCAAGATTTACCATCAGGTTGCTTTTTAATAAGTGACGGTTCGTGTGGTTAAAGTGCTTTATGTCCTTCCATTTAGAAGCCGTTTGGAAATAGCATCAGCCGGCACAACGGGGAGCCGGAGCAGCGAGCGCGGAACGCCGTGCCGCACAGGAGCGCGCAGGTATGCGGCTCACCTCGCCTCGGCCCCTGGTTAAGGGACTTCCCCTAAGGAAGCGCGTTGAAAACCACAGTACCTCTTACATCTTTTCCCATTGGGACTGAATATAATTTAATGAATTTATCCTTATTAGTTTATGGTTATATGACGCTGCTGAGTTAGTTAATGTGGTAGCATTAATGATAACGATTGATTACAGATAATTAGTGCCTTTTACTTTTTAACCAGGAACAATTCCCTTTGTCACAAGAAAGTAGTTACACGTCTACACAGCCTAGCCTTCGTCCAAGAAGAGAAGAGAGCAAATTTAAAAAAATAGACTTAGAGGAAGAAAAAATTGTTACGAAAGGACCTACATTGTTGAGAACCTGGGAAGTGACAGCCACACAGACGAAGGACTTGGAGTTCGGAGGAGTCCCTGGTGGGTGTCAGAGCCGGGCTGAGGGGGGCCGGGGGCCGGGCCAGCGGGAGTTGTGATAAAGCAAACAGGAAATGCCCTTCTCTGAAGATCTGAAGCGGGCCAGGCAAAGAGCCAGGTGGGAGCCCAGGGGGTGCGCAGGGGGGGATGAATGAGGGAGGTGGGCGGGACGAGATCAACAAAGATTTTGTGTGCATATGGGCATAACCCATAACCCGTAGGACACAGACAATAGGGTGGTGAAGGTGGCGGGAGGGGAGGGGGCAGTCTAGAGGAGGTCAACAATAAAGATTAAAAAAAATAAAGGAACAGCAGGTCCAAAGACCTGAGGTGGGAGCCTTTATATTGATTTCAGAGAGAGGAAGGGAGCGAGAGAGAGAGAGTCATTGATCGGCTGCCTCCTGCAGGCCCCCTACTGGTTCTCGGGTTGACACTGAGCCACACCAGCTGGCCAGGTGGGAGCATTTTTGAGGATTATAATGCAGTAGAGAGGGTGCCAGAGTGGCTGTAGATGTTTAGCAAATCTGTTAGGTTTTGATCAAAGAAGCGATAGAAGGAAGGTTGGCGTGGACGATCGGGGACAAGGAAATCTGGTCGTCAGCCCTGAGGTGACGGGCCGGCGTGGGCAGGAGCCGGGAGGCTGTGGACGTGAGATGGGGCGTGGGCCTACCCCACCTGCTGGGCGGGTTGATTATGAGAAAGATCTGAGGTGCTCAGAGGCTTGGAGTTATTAAGTGGGTGGTGCTGCTGGAGTTTTACGAGCCAGGAGAGGAAAGCACTTCTTGGCAAATGGTCCCAAGTCCTGCAGGATTCCTTGCTTGATCTTGTAACTTGTCTAGCTGCTCCATTAAAGATGGCGTCCAGCATCCAGTCTGGCCGTGTTACCTGAAGGCGATGCTGTTTTAATTGTTAGAAACTTACCAAGTTTCAAAGACCAGGCTGGTAATGGTTGGCTGTTCCGATCTTAATTTGCTGGGTTTTCAGTGTTCTAGAGCTTGGGTGTGAGCTGTCGGTGCGGGGCAGCTGCTGTGTTTCTGCTGTGGGACCAGGGTCGCTTGCCCACAGGACATGATAGAGATTAGAGCTTTTTTTAAAAAAAATCTTTATTGTTGAAAGTATTACATAGGTCCTCCCCGCCACCCCTCCCCATTAACCTCTTGAGATTAGGGCTTTTTGATGATACACTGAAAATTGGTTTCAAGCAGCTGGCCAGACTAGAGTTCTGACCTTAAAAAACCCAAATGATTCTTGAAGAAAAACAACAGAAAACACTGGGTTGGAAATTGAGCCTTGAATGTTCCCTGCTTGTCTGCAGGTGCGTTTCTTATCATGCTCGGCCTGCCTGCCTTCCTCTTCCTGTTGCTGTTGATGTGCAGGCAGAGGGAGCCCAGTCTTCTGAACTTCCCGCCGCCTCTGCCAGCTCTGTCTGATCTGTGGGAAGCCAGAGTGTTTGGGGCCTACCTCCTCTGGTTTTGTGTTCAGGCTTTGTTCTACTCGCTGCCAATCGGGAAGGTAAGTGTCTGCCGGGGGCGGGGCAGGCCCTGCGTTTCCTCCCTCCCCTGCTCACGTGCACAAGGTCACAGCTGTCCTCGCTCCTAACGACTCTCACTTAGTCTGGTAAGCCTTTGCCCTTGAACCCTGTAACACCTGCCTATTAAGGGGAACCTTAAAACTCGGATTGAGGTTTCTTGTGTAACTGCAAGCCAAGTAGAAAAGAATAAACTATTGTGCAAAATAGCCTAATGGTAGAGGTTAAAAAAATCCCCCCTCAGTAAAAGTTATTTCAGATACAGGATTTAAAGTGATCAGTTGATAAGCTACTGAGCTTAGTGGATTTAGCCTGCACTTTTCACTTATTTTTTAAATATATTCTTAAAATACCTTTTTACTGATTTTAGAGAGAGGGATAAAAACATCGATGAAAGAGAAACATCGATCGGCTGCGTCCTTCACACCCTGTAATGGGGATCAAGCCTGCCACCCAGGCCTGAGCCTGACTGGGAATTGAACTGGTGACCTCTGGCTCATGGGTCAATGCTCAACCACTGAGCCACACCAGCCAGGCTATTTTTAATATGAGTTTCTGATTTTCTGAAATTTGTTGTCAGGAACATTTAATGTTCTTTCAGCCTCGTGCAGTGTCTGAAATTTGTCCTTGTTGCTAAGTGTAGTCTTTCCTTCTTTCAGTAGAGTACTTGGATAGACTGAAAGGAACATGAGATCCCTAAGCAATAAATAATTCATCTAGAGATCTTGTTCTTGGGGCTTTGCAAATGTACCAACTGTCTGTAAACCAAAGGATCAGTTTGCTAGGAGTGGTGGATGCCAGTGACGGGGCTAGAGCTGCAGGCTTACATATTTGGAATCTCACCACCGCATCCTTGGCTGTAGCGAGGAGTGCTGTGATATAGACATTCAGGCTCTCCAGTGAAAATCACAAATTCAGATTAATTTAGGTAAGGTGAGCTCAAACTAGATACGATTTATTAAGAAAAGCAGTTCTGATGCCTAAATTATCTATCTATCTATCTATACACACACACACACACACACACACACACACACACACACACACACAGAAATAGAAGGTAAAAACCCAACGCAGTATTTGTGAGACACCTTTAATAGGTAAGTGTCAGTTGGAATTAGCATGTGGGTTTTGCTAATCCTGTGATCTGAAACGGTATTACCTTTCTCCTGGGTGCCCTTTCATAGCTAATGGAAGGGTAAAGGAGTGTAGCCCACGGAAAATGATACCATGTTAGTATTTGGCAGTTTAAACTTACTTCAATTTTCAGTGGTTATTTTGGGTGGTAAACGTGGCTGCCATTGAACAGGAGGGCTTTTCCCTTGAACTCCTCCTGCTCAGGTGGTGTGTTTCTCGGGTACCTGTGGCCTGGGCGCACCAGGGGGTCTGAGAAGAACTGAGTGGGCCCAAAACAAAGTGCTCCGGCTCTTAGGGAGGAAACGGCATCCCGTTAATGACTAAGGCGGGGAGCGTAGGTGTGTAAATGGCAGAGCAAGTTGGTATCTGCATGCGTATCGTCAGCTGGCGTGTGGGCCAGAGCGGGTGGGCGAGCGGGAGAGCGGGTGGAAAGGCCCCCCACACGCCAGTGAGCAGTGGCCGTCCCTGGAGATTCTGAGTGTGAGCTGAACCTGCAGGCGCTCCTACAGCCCGTCTGGCCTGGTGGTGGCACGTGGGGCGGCTCTTGTGATGGTCCCATACACGGAGCAGTTACGATTAGGTTCATATTTAGGACAAGTTCCTGGGGGTGTGCTTGCTTCATCAAAGCGTTTGCCGTTAAGATATTTGAAACCTGTTGCCAAATGTCCCTGCCAAAAGGCAGTCCTCCTGGGACAAGAGGTTTGAGTGACAGTAGGAGACATCTAGTATATGACACTAGTGCTGTTTCTAAGGTTTCACATTCAGTTTCTTTTCTTTTAAGGTGGTAGAAGGAACGCCGCTGGCCGATGGAAGAAGACTCCAGTACAGGCTAAATGGTGAATTCCTTTTTTAAGACTCAAATTAATGACTTAAAGCTCTGAAGTGTTGAGTGTAAACGCCCAGAGTGGATTACACCAGAACAGTACACAGTAGCCTCTCTCGGTCTGAAGGGCATGCACGTGAACTTTCATACCTGCAGCCAGCGTGTAAAAGTATTTGAGAAGTTATCTGAGAGACAGGCATCTGTTCACGTTTGTGCATGTTTGGCCTGAATAATGAAATTAGGACTTTAAAAATAACCTTGCGTTCTTCTATACTGGGAGCCATCTCACAGGCACGCTGGGCTGACGGGGGTGTTCTTGCCTTTTTTAAGGGTTCTATGCTTTCATCCTGACGTCGGCAGCCGTGGGAGCCGCTCTCTTCTGGGGCGTGGACCTCTGCTACGTGTACCACCATTTCCTTCAGTTCGCACTGGCGGCCCTCGTGTTTGCTGCCGGCTTGAGTGTTTATCTCTACGCGCGGGGCCTGCGTGCGCCCCGGGGGGAACTGTCTCCGGCCAGCTCTGGTGAGCAGTGTGGGGAGTGCGGCTCCCCCACTTACCCCCACCCCCGGGCGTGGGCTTATGGGCGGGGAAGAGAAATAAGGACAAATAAAAAGATGGAGAAAAAAATTTAAAAAGAAACAAATTATATTTCTTAATACTTTGTTTCTCTTCCCTTCTTTAGTCATTTGATGACAGTAAGACATTTTGGTAACTTATAGTAACATTTTAGTAAAGGTTAATATTATTTTGTCCCAAGTAGTAAATAGCCTTTGAAAAAACAGCACAACAAAGAGATTTCAAATTGGTTGATTCTGACCTAAAGTATTTAAGCATTAAGAAAATTAAGTTGCATATTTAGAAACATTGTAAGTCTACATTGAAAAGTATTCTAGTTCCTTAAAGTCAGGAGTCTGGCCCCACACTGTGCGGCAGGTGGATGGTGGGGGTTGTGGGGGGAGCCGGCGCCCCGCTGCTCAGCCCCGGGTCCTCCTGCTCGGGGG